TATGGTCTGGGAAATTACGCGAATTGCGTTTGGTGCGTTCTAAAGTGTAACAGTTTACAATCCTGAATTTATTTTTTAGAGGCACGTTCTGCGTTTTGGGTACACATTATCAAAATAATTTTTTTTTAATGTTGGTAAAGTTTCGCTTGAACACAATGTTACCCAGATAAATGGGGCTCATTATAATAATAAAATTATGATTAGGTAGGTAGGTAATAAGTATTGTGTTAAGATGGGTTAATACAGTATTTCTCCATATTAATAATATATTTTTATTTGTTCCGCTTTTAAAATTCCTATTTATGTGATATATTCCTATTATGCGATAGTCAGAATTCAACTAAACCCTGACCTGCCCTGACTAAACCGATAACGCCGCTACATTGACAGGTGTTACCCGCTCATAAAGGAATTTTTAGGTTAGCCACCGTTTCGCGCGCATTTTGGGAGTCAACCTTCTGGTTGATTTCTATTTTGTGATCGGAACTATGTTGGTATGAAAAATAAGACTTAATTTTACGTGAGGAATCTCCCCACGAGAGATGGCACATATTTAAAAATAATAATAATAATATAAAAGTAAATTATACACCCTGTATAATTTTTGTTTTTCGATTAGGGGCAGATCATCAATAAGAGGTCCACAGCCTACTAGATAAAAGTGACGAACTTTTAAAAATTCTATATTTCAACGGGGACTATAACAAAATATTAAGTGTGCTATACAGGGTGTCCCAGAAATATGTGCAAATATTTTAACTGATAGTATAGTTCAACCCCAGAAACACGCCTATGAGGTTCTTTTCGCGAAAAAAAAATTTTGAGAATTCGAAAATTTTTTTAAGATCGATGCCGGTGGCGCGTTTCTGCGGCAACCACAAAAACGCGCAGTGTATAACCGGAATTAGTCGCACCAGTAAAAAAGTATGTATTATCATTTTTTCTGATAGAATCTACAAATTTTGCATCACTGATAATTTTTACCGTATCGAAATCTAACATTTCTCTAAATCTATTAATTTTAATATATAATATCATATCGAGGGTCACAAGGCAGGATCTCGTATTAATTATAAAACAATTTTTGCGATATTTTCACAAAAATAATTCAAAATATTTCATTTGATAATAAAGTATTGATAACTCGGCTCTATAAGATAATAATTCGTTTAAAAAAAATATAATAATTTAATGTAAAATTGGGTATGTTTTGGGGATTTCCTGGAAAATCGTATCAAAAATGATACGAGTTACTGCACTGTGACCTTTGATATACAAAAAACCGAATTAGTTACCGAATTGTACGTAGAATCTAATTATAAAATAAAAATAGGGTATTCTCATTAAAAATATATGTTATATCCGAACAACAATCACAAATCCAAACATTTTTTGATATACCCTGTATACTCTACAGTAATTTTAAAATGTGCTTCTTAACCTTCCTTATAACTTTTCTGTTTAACATTTTGTTCTAAAAAGCGTTAAATAACAAAACCAAAACATTTTTTATATACCTTGTAGTCGATAGCTTTTCATTATATATTATGCTGCAGTTATTATGAATTAATTTAGCATCATTAACCATAAAACAAAAATCTATCTGGATGTACGTGAAATTTTCGAGAAAATTTTTATTTATCCAATCATTATGACTCGTTTTATATATATTTTGTTAAAGAAGAATTATGCTGCAAGTTTTTTTACATTAAATTGAAAAAAAATATATATATATTTGCTTCAAAATTGACATGTTTTTATACAAAACATCTGGGAATTTGCCGATTGACTTCTGAATTCCAAAAGACTGCCAATGACTGCCGCGACTGCCTAGCGACTGCCAGTGACTGCCGCGACTGCCTAGCGACTGCCGATCGACTGCCGAGCGACTGCCTATGACTGCCATGTAATTATAGGCGACTGCCGAAAGACTGCCAAAGACTGCCAGCGACTGCCAAGAAAATGTACATGTAATTCCAACAGTGAGACACCCCTCGGTTACTACCAAAAAACCGCTGCGGAGGCAAGGGCGTAGATAAGGGGGGGGGTACTGGGGGACAGTACCCCCCCTGACGCTTGACGAGATACGAGAATTGAAATAGTCATTGACTATGAAAGGATTTTTTTAATTAAAATCCGACATAAGAACACTTTGTATGCTTTTAATTATGTTGATTTATCGTTTATAATATGTTCGACCTAATTAAAAGCACACAAAGTGTTCTCATTGGCCAGGACAGATTAGTGGGGTTAACTCTAATCAATATCCATAAAGATATTGAAATAAATGTTGATGCTGTTATTGATAGGTTTTCCAAACAGCGTACTAGAAAACTTGATTTTGTTTTGTAGTTTTATTTATAGTTTATAGTTTTTATAGTTTTTTTTGATAGTTTAGAGTTTTTTTTTTATAGTTTATAGAAAATTAACTAATAAACGTCGTTGTTTCATTTTTGTTTATGTTATTTACAACTCTATATTTTAATTTTTGTGTTATGTTTTTATATCTTTTTGAAGACAAAAAAATCGCCGTCGTTTTAATTCGACAAAAAAATTCCGACGGTGATTTTTTTTGCGACTTAATCATAGTACCACCCCCATAGCGTACACCTATCTACGCCCCTATGCGGAGGTATTTCAACATACCTCGCTGCTATAACCTTGGCCCAGAGAAAACTCCTCTGATTCCTCCCGTATTGATGAAGCCGACAGGCAGAAACACTGAGTGTCTACGGGTAGTCGTATTTTAGCCATGTTTCGTGGCTAATCTTACTGTAGGTTGCCCAATAATTTCATTCTTCTTTTTTATTATAGCCCCCACGATAACATCTATTGTTTATTGTTTTCTCTGGGCCAAGGTGATAGCGGCGAGGTATGTTAAAGTACCTCCACAGTAGTATTTTGGTAGTAACGCTTGCGAATTGTGAGCTACTGCTTAACCAGTTTGCAAATGGTGCCTAGTGCCTCGTTTGCTTCCCCTTTTTCTTTTTTCAGGATCGCTAGTTCATCGTTGCTGATTCCTCCGTATTGATGAAGCCGGAAGGCAGAAACACTAAGTGTCTACGGGTAGTCGTATTTTAGCCATGTTTCGTGGCTAATCTTACTGTAGGTTGCCCAATAATTTAATTCTTCTTTTTTATTATAGTCCCCACGATAACATCTTTTGTTTATTGTTTTCTCTGGGCCAAGGTGATAGCGGCGAGGTATGTTAAAGTACCTCCACAGTAGGATTTTGGTAGTAACGCTTGCGAATTGTGAGCTACTGCTTAACCAGTTTGCAAATGGCGCCTAGTGCCTCGTTTGCTTCCCCTTTTTCTTTTTTCAGGATCGCTAGTTCATCGTTGCTGATTCCTCCCGTATTGATGAAGCCGGAAGGCAGAAACACTGGGTTGCCCAATAATTTCATTCTCCTTTTCTATTATAGTCCCCACGATAACATCTATTGTTTATTGTTTTCTCTGGGCCAAGGTGATAGCGGCGAGGTATATGTTGAAGTACCTCCGCAGCGGTTTTTTGGTAGTAACGCTTGCGAATTGTGAGCTACTGCTTAACCAGGTTGCAAATGGTGCCTGGTTGAAAGATGATTATTATTAATACATCATACAGTTGATTGAAAGAATTAGGAAGATACGCCACCATGAGCGCATTCGTGACAAGGCCGATTTGATTTCTCCTTACGTCTCAAGTGCTGTACGGTGGAGACACCAATCGTTCTGCCGTCAACGCAAAAAACACTCATTTTCTCTAATTCGGCTAGCGACGGCATGTCAAGAACGGTGTGGAACTGGAAGCCACAGTGTTGCCATATTAAAATGTGTAATATCTGTAATACGTTTCACGAAAATATCTTTGGATGAAAAATCCGCGTTTATGTATTGAAAATTTATTCGTGTTGAACATAGAATAAACACCAAAAATTAAAATTCTTTTTTAGGTACTGAATATTTCGTGTGATCGGAAAAGTCGTTTAGTTGGCTTGAAAATGACGACTATTGACATGTACCGTAATATTTTGTATATGAAATAACAACAGTATAATATATAATGATAGAAAATCCGCATTATTAACGTACTGTACCCAAAATCCGTAAATCTACGGATTAATCCGTAGTTCTTGCAACACTATCTCCGGCAACCACCCACTCTGTAGAGTGAAAGCAGAACTATGGTACAGTATTCTTTATCTGCTGTGCTGTAAACGACTATCAGCGCGCAGCGGCGCAGAGCTAAAGTAAATCTCGGAATTCTCGGACAGGCTAACGGTAGCTCCAGCTACATGTCGGACAGGTTTTATGCTACAAGTCGCCCATAAAATTGCGCATCTTTTTATTTTTTCAATCAACGGTATCAGTTTAATATAAACATTATCACTAGCTAATAAAGCTATATAAAAATAATAAAGCTACTTCAATGGCACAGGTTCACAAAGTGATAAAACCTGCCGCGAAATAAGCCGGCTACCGAAAAGCGGAAACCCGGTGCACTATGGACGTGCCTTTGCTCTACTACGTCTACGTACTGACGCGCTCTAGTTTTTTTAACAATCATTTTTTTTCTGCATAAAAGGTTCATGCATGGCATAGCGGGAGTTATATGTTATTCTGCCATGCTTGAATAAATCCTAAATCCTCGCTTAGGCCTCTCTACTAGACCTAAACGCGTCAAAATTGTTAATACAATTTAATAGAGTGAAAACTCATACAACAAAGTATTTGTTTTAAAATTACTATGATATGAGTTTTCGTCAAATTTAAGCTCCAACAGTCAGAAATAATACTATCATTATTTTGATGAAAATCCGTACGGCAACGACTGCAAAAGCAGCCGACTCACAAAGAACTTAAAAAAAACGAGGCTATTTATTTAGAAGCTATTTATAACCGTCGCCGCCGGCGTCCTCCGCGCTTCTTCCAGAATTCTGAAAACCGCCGCCGTTCGCGCATGACCGACTCAACCGTCTCAACCCCCCACCCTTGCCCGCCCCCGTGGGACGCCTTAATCGAGCCGTCGAAAGCGCCGCGACGCTCATACGAACGACGCACTGCCCGGCTGCCACGCGCGGTTATTTCCTCGGCCACCCGGTGTGCTTTTTTTTCCACAAAAAAGCCAAAAAGCAGGAGATATACCTATCGACCTAGTTTAGTCAGTTTCTGATCCGAAAGTAGTACCGCAGGTACCGAAGAAGAAGAACGAAAAAAAGATGGCTTCGTCCAGTGCCGCAGTAGCCAGGAGCTCGAAATATTCGTACAAGTCTGGAACGCAGGGGGCCTCCGCTGACGTCAGCATCGAGTACAGCGCCGATCTGACCGCCCTGAGCAGGCTCGAGGTAAAGAGGTTTTTCGCGAAAATTGAGTGATATCGGGTTACAAAGTGATGACATGTCGCGACCTATTTTGGTGATATCCTTCATGTGACAGTGATCGAGGATAGCTGCTTTTGGTGCAACGCATTTTTACATTTGCTTCAAGTTTAACATCATATCATGCAAAAAAGACAGTATAAAAATTTCCAAATTTTTAATCCAATACAAAGAGTTCGATTAAGAGTAATTACGAGTAAATTAACATAAGAGTGAGTTAAAAACCAGCTCAAATTTGTTTAAATTATAACACCATCAAGTATTTTACATTCACACTTTTACATTCATCAAGTATTTCTTTTCTCTCTATAAATCAAAATTAGTTAGTTTTAGAAAATGTTCAAATTTCAGTTTTTAAGATGTAATTAATCAAAGTTGATGAAGAGTTCTTGTTAGATTCTTCCTTATTTTTATCTTAGTTTGATTTCAGCCACAAAAACATTATACAGGGTGAGTCTTAAATAAGTGCAAATATTTTTAGAAGTAGTATATTTCGACCCCAGAAAACACGTCTATTTTGAAAAAAACATTGGATTTTTTAAAACTTGATTTTTTAAAATTTCTAGTTAAAACTTACAATATCTTGATAATATGGCAACATAGGTTGTAGATTAAATGGATCCTGTGGTTCTCAAAATTTAAGCAAAAAATCTTTTTTTAATTTACAAAGTAAAGTAACTCGGTTATTTTGAACTTATTTGAAAAACGGTAAAGACAAAATATGCTTCTTTTATGAAAATCTACCAATCCTGAAAATATTTGCGCTTATTTCTGATTCGCCCTGTATAAATAAACGACATTCTTAACATACTGTCCGATTCTTTTACATATACAGTGACGTCACATTTGTCACAATATATTTTGGTATATTATGTTACGTTCAAACCCTAATTTGGCAATCTCCTTATTGTGCAAAATTATCGGAAATACTTGTGTAACCCCTTCTCAATTGTTTTGAGTCTATAGCAATTAATTGTGCGGATCCAGGCTTAAAAAGTCCTTTTTTAGGTATAGATTTGTTTTCAAAGTATACACTTATATCATCAATAATAATATTATAATTCAATCGTTTATCTCGCCTATGCAATTGTTGTATACTATTTTGTATATCATATGTAAAGATGTAATGAATTCAATTATAATTTGGAATTTTTGAAAAAACACATTTTTAATGATGCAAATCTTACCTGGAACAATTTTACTTACGAAAGTATTATTATAATCCTCTTTGATGGGTTTTTATCGAAAATAGTTAATTTAATTACACCTCTGTGGTTAACTATAATATCCTCCACTATACCTGGTGGGCCTCAAAAGTGGCTCACCCCATAACTTTTTTATTTTTTCAGATAAAAAAACGAAATTTGGTATGTTAGTTTATGACATAAATTAGGATTGACTGATGTATTCAATTGTTTTCGGTCACTTCCTATTTCACCGGAAATGACAACAACTTTTAATTTTTAAATGGCACCTTCGGTATTTTTTTTAATTTTATTCGATAGAAAATGACACTCCGAATAGAATGACATATCATATGTCAACTTTTGACACTGTCGCTTTAGAGTGCCATGGCTATGTTAAAAACACTAATTTTTAATCAAGGAGCCTTGGAAAAATAGATTTGATAGTCTAATGTTTTTCGTGTCCTGTCCCGGCCGGTTAAAAGATGCCCAAATTGTATTTTTTATCATATCTCAATTTTTTCAAATGGAACGAGGGTGGCTAATTGGCATATTGTGAAAAAGATTTTTTTTAAGAATAATTTGATACCACACACTTGGTATTTCGAGTCAAATTGTCGTTATGAATCGAATGCTACAATTTCAAATAAACCGTATGTGAAAATGTCAAAAGTAGACATATGATATGTCATTCTATGATATGCCTTCATTTTCTATCGAATAAAGTAAAAAAAATACGGAAGGTGCCATTTAAAAATTAAAAGTTGTAGTCATTTCCGGTGAAACAGGAAGTGACCGAAAACAATTGAATACGTTAGTCAATTCTAATTTATGTCATACACTAACATACCAAATCTCCTTTTTTTATCCAAAAAAAAATAAGTTATAGGAGCGAGCCACTTTTGAGACGCACCCGGTATATCTTAGTTTAACCACGCTTAATTACAAATGTAATATCATATTAAGTGTGTAAAAGAAAATCATTTATTTGAATAGTGTATAAGGATACATTTTGGGGGAGTGTCATTTCTCTTTTAATTCTAAAACTGGCATTCTATCACCTATACAAAAGTAAGATACCTATAAATATAGTCTATAAAATGAATAACTTTGAATTTTGACCGTTATTTTTTACCAACATGGCAAATATAAAATCCCTCTATCAATAAAGTTACTGATATTCTTTAAATTGAGTGACTGAACGAATCAGATAGGTAACCCTTGTTACTTTCGTGAAATAGAAAAGGAAAATTATAAAACAAGTCACAGTTCTGCCTCTTCTTACAAAAATCAACACGAAATGGCATAATTGTCAAAAGTCAAATATCATCAGCTTTTGACATTTCTAAATATCAGAACAATGTCTCTAATAGAACAGCCATGGAGCGAGATTTATGACGTCACGCTAGTTAGATACTACGGATTAATAAATATGTTGTAGAATACATGGAAAACAGAATTATTCCTCGTGTTTTTGGTTTGTATTTTAAAAATGATATAGTTTACATGAAATATAAATAATATACAGTTAATAAATACAATATATTATATACCTATTTATAGTAATAAATACTTGGGCAAATAAACTATGAACCATACAAATGCAGCAAATGTTTTACAATATACAAATAATGAATAGGTACATAAGATAATGGGTAAAATGTAAAATATATTTTAAATTTTGGTTTAAAAATCGATTTAATTTAACAAAAAAACATTCAATATCTACTAATAGTGATGTATTATTATTTGCATTCACAAAATTTATATGTATATTTTGCAAGTATCAATGTTCGAAGAATTACATATGTAAATAATACAATATCATAGAAAAAAAGGCGTCAGCGATGGCTATGAAATAAAAATCGCTGTCTTTTTATATGTTAAATTATTCTAAAATTTTTGATTTTCTTGGTTCGGGAAAAACGCTTTAGGTTCGGGAAAAACGCTGAATAAGTATTCATTTGGGTTTTCATTATTTTTGTTGGTTTAAAATGAAAAAAAAATCATATGACACAGAAAAAAATAATGAAAACCCAAATGAAAACTTAATCAGCGTTTTTATTTATTAACTGTATATATATTTTTTACATTAACTTATTTATATTAACTGTTTATATTAACTGTATATTATGCATATTTCATGTAAACTATATCATTTTTAAAATACAAACCAAAAATACGAGGAATAATTATGTTTTCCATGTATTCTACAACATATTAATATGTAGTATGTAACTAGCGTGACGTCATGAATCTCGCTCCGAGGCTGTTCTATTAAGAGACAGCATGCCGCAAGTTGCTAACCTTATAAAATTAACACTAGAAAAGCCCGCGGGAACTGTCAAATTCAAAGTTATTCGTTTCACAGACTATACCTAGTTAAAATTATGAAAATACAGTAATCTTATAACTAAAAATATACTCACCTTGAAGGATCTAATTTAATGATGTCCTTCATATTAAACTGATCAAAAATACGTGGTGCATCCATTTTTTGCAAAAACATTTTATGTAGGTTGATAACGCATATATTATGTTTCTTTTTTTCTTTTAATGTTACAGGATACTATAAAAAAGTGTAAAAGAAATATTTGTTTCATATTTTTAAATAGACGTCTACCTACGTCATCAGTCCTAGTTAAATATGTCAATTAACTAATGACGCAAATATCAACGACTTACCTTTGGCAATGAATGGACGTCAATTTTAAAACTGCATAGTCTGACGAAAAGCTGACACTTTTCTCTCACTATAAGAAAATAATTATTCTATATTTTGACAAAACGTCATATGAAAAAAAATCATAAAGTTGTTTAATAATTATTGCAGATGACGCATATTAATAACGCCATTTGTCATTTGATGATATTTATCATTATATCATAAATCCGGATAACAAAGTTATCATAATTCAAATTTCATTCCCTACAGTTTCACCAAGTCAGTTTGAGTCAAGGTATATAAAACTTCATACTCATATTCTCTTGATTTTATAAAAATTAGATGAAAAAAAGACTACATAGGTATCATGGAAAACTAAAGCTTGTTACAACTTCAAAGCTCTCACTAAAAACTTTTTAATTGTCAAAATTTTATATGAAAATTATTTTTTCAGGACAAAATTCGTCTTCTCCAAGATGACCTCGAAGTAGAAAGAGAACTCAGATCGAGAGTGAGTACGAGTGACGAGTTTTGATCGAATTATTAACGTTTGAGCTTTATTGTTGCTTATACACTAACTTTGCTTTGCTTTCGTACACTTTTTGCTTTGTTGTACATGCTTAAATACCTAAACACTTTGCTATAATGTTTTTGCTTGCTTTAGTTTTCTGCTAAACACCTAATAAACTTATTTAACGAATAGTTTTATTTTTATACGACTAGGAGGTGTTCGGTAGTAAATGATAACATGATAAGCGTTATAGTAGAAAATGAGATTCCAGAATTAAGCTGCAACGATTATTAATAATTTTAAATTCTTGTTTCTTTACGCAACGGTCTAGCTACGTTGAAACATCGGTTCCCATTAGAACACCGAAGTTAAGCGACGTAAGGCGATACTGATGGATGGACGGGTGACCGGTTCGAAACTCTGTATCGTGCTGTTGTCCAAGGGAAAAGTGTAAAATCTATTGATACACACGGATGCCAAAATATTGTTGTTTTATCAACTATTAGTAGTAGTAGTAGTAGAATGAGTAAGAGGGGAGGATCACCTCGACCTTAAAGATCTATTGTGTCCGCCTTTCTTGAGTTATAGCTCATCATACAATTTATAACTCATCATACATTGAGATCTCTCTGTTGTAGGGAGGGGGGGGATAATTTCTCTGACAACGTATATTCATCCGTAGTATGTGGCATCTGGAGTGGGTATCTACCTGCCCTGCACAGTCGAGGAGCTTGTCTCCGGCTGAGGTACCCGTGAGGTGGAGGCTGAAGGATCTGTCTCCATTTTCTCCATCTCTTTAACTTGGTCTTTCTTTAGACCTGATACCGGTATTGTCCCGAATCTATAATAGAGGATAGATCCCTCTTTCTCTATTGCCTCCTTGGATTTGAGGTCAATTACACCGCAAGTGTTATTCGGGACCAATAATTGCACAATGGTTAATAGGGAACCAATATTTGAGCTGTTTAAAATTTGCATGGGATTTCCTGTTTACAACGCCGATGCACCACCCGGTATATGGTTGTATGAAAAATATTTTCACATCTCCTTTTTCATCTGGCTTTATATTTGGAGTCTACTTGTAAAAACTTGTTGAGTTAAGAATGGATTTATGTTATCTTTTCCTTTTTTGGATTTTTTGCTTTTTTTATTGGATGTTGATAGGGTTTATTGGATGGGCAATATACACATTCAGTGGTTACTTTTATTAGACTGTTGTAAGTTCTTATATGTCTCAGGAACTCCTTGTTTTATAAATTAGACGCGTTGAAATATTTTTTATGTTATTAGTTACGGAAACTATATACAAGCTGTCAAGTAAAATAAGTTTACAGTCATACATTAAATCTAAATAAACAAACTATTTAAGATAAAATTTGTCTTTTAATTCTGAAAAATAAAGTGCAATTACTTAGAGAGTGAACCTTCCATATATCAATATGCTTTATCATTTCCAAGTAGGTACCTACAAAAAAACGCATATTTATCAGGCTATCGCACTGACTTGGAATATGTACTGCCATTCTTCTTTACGTCTTCTTATACTGTCAATACGAGCTGAACTTATGAAAAAGTACTTTTAGGAAGTACTTTATAAAAGTTTAATCTACTATTTCAAAAGACTATGCCTATTATAATTATTCTATTTCTGTACTTATTTAGTTAGTTAGTTAGTGTCATTTCTGCTTTTTTGTTTTTTTTGTTCTACCTGTTTCTTCCGGTTAAGTTATTCACTTTAAGTTTCAAATGTCATGTGTTATTTTGTTTCATACACTCTAAAATACAGATATGGTATAGTGTGAAATGTTGATCAAAGATTCAGCTTTAAATTTTCTCTTTAAAATTTTAAGAATGTTTAGAAATTTATTTAATGTTCTAATTTTCGCGATTAAATATTAAATTAGGTCACCGTGAAATATCTACCATGTCCCCATTCCACTAATATAAGTTGTCACTATTTACTCAGCAACACTCCGTAATAAATAGGTTATGGAAGGCTAACTTTCACATTTAGTAATCCATACAGGAGGTTACTTTCATTTACTACAAGAGTCAGTTTTAGGAGAGTTTGATAACGTTTTAATATTTAAAGTTACACTGTATATCGGTTAGAATCAGTTGATTTCTTTTTTCCATAGCAACTGTTAAAATTGACTTATATCTATCAAAAATAGTAGATAAAATATTACTTTAACCGCAAGCGTAGATTAAATGACACTTTAACAGCGAGGATAGGTTAAAAACTTTATTTCTTCTCGCACGTTTTTTAATTTCTTCCATTTTTGAAAATGTTTGTATTCCTTTTCATAAGTTATTCGGGATTTAAATGGAAGTAGTTTGTATATGGAGTTTGTCGCCTCAACCTGAATATCTGTTGGTAATTTACTTATTTCGTTTGATCCATTTCTGGCTCCAATTCAATCAGCAATTGACACGAAAGAGAATTAAAAAATATTGACTCAAAACTGACAACTAAAGAGACAACTTTATTTATATTTGTCAAATTATATAGAAACCAACGCCAACCCAGCATAATATATTTTCTACTCGTAATAAATTCCTTGAAATAATAATTTCTGAATATTTTTTAATAAGTAACGCTATGGAAAAAAATATTGTTTTATTCACGACGATAAAGAATAAATGTCTCGTCTGAGACAAATTAATTCACTCGCAATTTCATCGCTCGTGAATTAATCTTTTCGGTCGACGATAAAATGCCATTTTTTATCATTACAGTTGAGGGTTGGAACCTTTGGTGTTACACAGCAAAATAAAAACACTAGATCACCACAATACACCAAAACACTTACTTTTACGCGCGTCCAGTGTAAAAGTAAAAGTGTTTTGGTGTATTGTGGTGATTTAGTGTTTTTATTTTTTATCGTCTTGTATAAAAAACTAACTATTATCACATTTTTTAAATCCCTTCTACAACAAGTTGCTTGAATTGTATTAGCAGATAACTGAGAAAAACAAACTATTTAAGATAAAATTTGTCTTTTAATTTACTTTGTATTAATTATAAAATCTTGTAGAAGAACGATTCGAACAATGTCACTTCGGTGGCCAATCCGAAAGTGAATTAGAGAGAAATATCGTCTCCGTTACACACAATCTGAATTTAGAAAAATGAATCAACCGCCGTACAGCTAAGTTAGCTGAGGAGTCGTCTATCGGCTACGCGCTCCGTGCTATTTTCAATTTGGCAATCCGCTGGGGTCCGACTCGCCTTCGGAAAAGCCGAAAATAACTTTGGACCGACCGATGCGAAAAAATTCGTTTTTCGCCAGGCCAAAATTGTGTCAAATTCGGTGGCCGCCGGCCGTCGTGAAATATTTCTCGATACACCTCATTCGACCGATATAAATTGCTGGTAATTGCTTACCAGGTTTCGTCGATAAATAGGCCAAAGTTATGTAAAATATCGAATTAGGTGACCAAGTCCGTAAAGTTCAATAATTCGTTTAATTTCTAATGATAACGATTTTTATGACCTTATAGTTTAGATTCTTGGAGGTGGCTATTGGCCAGATCTACTGCGACCTTTTCAAATCTATTGTGGTCCTCTTCTGATCTTTGCGTTACCATTCTCCAGTCCTAAGTCCTTCCTTCCAAAGTACTTTTCAAAAAATCTAGCAATTTGGAGACTACATCCTTCATATAGCTGTCAATCATTGCTTATTACAGAGAACGGCACATTTGCCAGGATACAATGTGTTCTGTTGTTTCTCCTTCAGAATGGCAAAGACATTACAACCAGCACATGGCGCCGTCTGTCCATCCGATTAGCTTTAGATGCCTATTCAACTTACAAAATGCCCTGTTAGTATAGACCCACTACAGCTGTGAATGTCTTTCTGACTTTGCTTATCAAGTCTACCGTAAATTTTGGCGAATGTTCTACTATGAACTTTTTCGCCTGTCAGCGCCCTGGTGAATTTTTCCACCAATCTTGAAAATTTATTGGGCTGATGAGTTTTCTGATCTTAAGACAACCTTTTTCTTCTTCTGGTGCTTTCTCTGTCTTCAAACGTTGGTTATCATCTTGTTTATGATCTGATGGAATCTGTCTCTATTGGCTGCCGCACTCTCAACATTGTCTGATATAGTAGCCATTATAGCTTTTTACGTCTATCTACCTTTTTCCTTCCATTTTCTCCTGTTTTATAAGACGCAGTAGCTAATATTTGGGGCCTACAATTATAAATATGTTCAAAGTATTCCGTCTCTCTCTTCTTTACAATGTTCAGCAGTTAATGTTTCGTGTCCGTCATGCGTATCAATTCATCAGTTGTATCAAAGTAAAGTAAGTATCAAAAGTACCAAAAACTAAAAAAAGAGCCACACGTCGCGCCGTTAGCAGATGAATCAAACTGTTTATCTTTATCTACTCACCCACCATGTTAGCATGTTTAGTAACGTAGCATTTTTGGTAACGGTAACTTGTTGTGCTGTTGTGCAGTAGCAAAAAATCATCTGCAAGATCCTTCATCGCGATAATGGAAAAATTTCCATCATCATCATAACTCTAGTCAGTCAATGTCATATTTTTACTGGCTATGGAGCTATCTTTCAGCATTTCTTTGTAGTATTTTTGTTGCTTCGTGTTAGTATTTTTTCAATATGCTAGTTTTTATAATTATCCTTCTCCTTTCGCTTTTTTTCAAATGATATATTTTGTTATTTGCTCGTTTTTTCATATAGTATTTGTTCACTATCTATTAAATTTTACCTTTTGTATACATGTACTTTATTGTTTGTATCATCGCTTAATATCTCATTTTCATCAATCTCACTATCATATTTGAAGAGAGTGTCTTCTGTCATATGTTCTATAAATGATCTAAAATCACTACCTGTTATATATTGGCAGTAAAATAAAAGAAAGGAAATCACCTCAAAACAACATAATTTTTTAGGTCATGATTCACGTATAACCTAGAAACACAATAATTATCATAAACGGTAAAATTCGCGTTCATAGGTTATCCGTGAAT